TACTCATACAACAAGTCATACAAACGTACTCGTACAACGAGTTCATACACAACACCTTAACTTTCTACCATATCATGATCGATCGGGCAATGGCTGAGTTGCCACTGGGCCTTGAAACGGTACATTTTCGCACTCACCGCTGTAAGAAGCGCTCGGTAGCATCGTTTCCGTACTGGGAGGTATTTGGCATCGCTTGCCGCCCACGGTTTGGTGTGACCTGTGGCGTCCACCGCAGCTGAGCAGCAACTGCAACGCCGGGCATAGGTTTGTGGTGATATTTTGAGCGGCACGCTGCTCACCATTTAAAGTTTTTGGGAAAAACTTATGCTGTTCCTTATGACTTTGAACCCCTGCGCCAGGAGATTTATTTGTCTCATTTGTTTTGTTGCTGGTGACACACCGGTCTCCATACGCTATCGCCGAGGTCATACGCCAGCTTGCTGGGGTACTCTCGGTTGCTGAGGGACCCTTCATGCTAGTCTCGGGTTCTTTCCACTTGCTCAGAGGGCCCTGCAATGTTGCTTTGGGCCATGTAAGTTAACTTACCGATGTACTCGATGCTCAAGGGCCCGTCTACATCAGTCATGAAGGACTCTTCGCATTTGCCCTCACTTGCGAGAGACCTTTTACCGTTGCCGGGGCCCTTTCTCATAACCTGCCGGAGCATTTTGATCCTACAGGGGCCCGCCACAACCAGGGGTTGTGGAGACTTCATATCTGTTCTAAGCACCCTTCGCTCTTGTCGAGGTACTTAAACGCTCATCCGCCAAGGCACCCGATCGCTCAGGGCCCTCTGCATTGGTGTTGGGTTCTTCTGTTTGTTCGGGAGAGTTCTTAGCTCTTGCCGGGGTCTAGGTGCTGATGTTCCGGGACAGTTCTGGTCTTTTTGGAGCCCATCACACTGGTTTTGGGCTCATTTCGTTTTCTCGGAGGGCTCTGCTCTGTTGACGGGGGTGGAGGGGAGGGGGAGGGCTCCTTGTTGACCCGCTGCGGCACCCTCGATCGCTTACGTGCCGTTCCTATTGCTTTTGGGTTTATCCATTTCGTCGGAGGGCCTTGGCTGTTGACGGCGCTTACATGTCAATCAGCTTGGGTGTTCTTGATGTCTTCGGGGCGTTTTGGCCTCTTCCCATGAGGCCAGACGAGCTAACTCTTGCCGAAAGCCCGGCACGTGCTTGCGGGCCCTAGGACTAACGTCAGTCATTGTGTTTTGTCTGCTTGCGTATACGGGCTTAAATGAATTGACTCATGTGCACAAGTCCCATATGTAAACCATGTCGATTTTCCTCGGTAGCCTGGCCGCAGATAACGGCAGGCACATACGTTCTGATGAAATGCTACACTCAAATTCCGAACACAATTGTACGTGCCGCCGACGTCACATTTTGCATTGCCCTTGATTGTTTGAATTGTCATGCTCATTATACTTTTGCATCACACTACTAACACAGGTTGAGTGCTAGCATTTTTCATACTCCTTCATTAGAGCCGAAGCAAAAACTCCGCAATAGTCATTAGTCAACAGCTGATCACAACGTCGGCTAGCTGGCTAGCTGGGAAACCTGAGGTACGGGATTCGATTCCCCGCGGTGCCCGCCCTTCCTGCCAGGGTGAGAAGCAGGCGACGCCATATAGCCTCAGCAGCTGAGTGCGTCGTAAAGCTCCAATAGCACACACACGTCGGCTAGCCGGCTAGCTGCTGGAAACCGGGTGGTTGCAACGAACGATGGGATCGAGTGTTGGGCTTGAGTTTGATGGCATCTAGCAGCCAGCTTGATGTCGTTTTTTCATATATTCTACGAAATACTTATTTTTTCATATCCTCCATAAGGCTTAGCCTCAAAATGGCAGGATTAGCCGCGACCTGGAGAGAATGAGCACGCTCTATGCGCACACACATACGCACCAGGCTCAGGTATGTATTGAATTTGGAGGGCGTCGTTTTCTAGGATGTTCACATAAAGCTTCTTTCTCGTGTATAAATTGCAAGGTAAGCATCTTGAAATGTAATGACGAGGTTCCTAGGAATTTTCCCTTTTTGGTGGGGGGGGGGGGGGATATTACTTTCCAGTGAGTCTACAGCGGTGCGTGAGCCTCTCTCCCGCCGCTAACGAAATCCTGGTCCGCGACTGGTTGGATCTGACATCGCAGCCGTGTTGAATGTCAGACATGGCTGGCCTGGATGCCCGATATGTTTGGAAATTTTGGATTTTGTGTTTTTAAATAATGTGAGGTTTTGAATGCCACGCTGGTATGTTTTTTAAATTTTGATAAATTCAGACCGTGACTTTCTTTCTACCGCAAACTTCGCCAGCATTGAGTGAAATTGATGGCTAGTGAAAGAAGACGGCAACTTTCCAATAAACGCGAAGAAATATTTGGTCTTAAAATCTGGTGACCTGGCTGACCCTGCCGTTAGCTACCCATCCGTGCTGTGCCATCGTATGCTCGGATGGCCGGGAAGATTATGGTGCAAGGTCAGCGTTACGGTCTGCTGTCAAACAATATTTTCTCTCACCCATCCCGTCTGTATGGTTTCAGGTAAAGTAATTTTAATGAAACGGCCCTTATTTCTGTGTTGGAGCACATTTTGTCAGCCATGGACCAGGGAAAGTGTTCCCTACTTTACCGTCTGGACCTGGGTAAAACGTCCATGTTATACACCACGTAGAACTTCGCACAAAATTACAGCTTCACCATCGCCTCGATCCGGTTCCAAAATTATTTGCGAGGTCATGTCCGCAGTATTTCTCTTACCGCTTCCTCCAGCGCATGCCACTTTGATCTATCAACCGGATGCCCGTCTGTTTAAGGCTCGTTCTCGAACCTTTACCATGTGGTATGTTTTCTTCCTGTGTCGTCATGCCGGGATGTGCATGCCATTAAATATGCTGACAGCATCCTGGGCTTAGTTTCATCACACGCCACTACGAATCTGCGCAGTTTTGGTTTGCGTCGTATGGACCAAAACACCGAAAACAACTTAGTCGGACCGATGCTTCCTAATCGTCAATGACCTAAGAATCGAGGTGCCGGTGGTGTAGCGGTTAACAGGTCTGCGTTAACCACTGCGCGCCTGGGAAACCGGAGGTACGGGGTTCGATTCCCCGCGGTGTCCGTCCTTGCTGCCAGGGTGAGAGGCAGGCGACGCTATATAGCCTCGGCCGCTGAGTGCGTCGTAAAGCTCCAATGGCACAGACACATACGCACACGCACATACACATACACGCACGTACGCACGCACACGCATACGCACACAGAATTGAGGCTCCCAAGAAAGTTAGGCTGCTTCCGGCGCGTATGCTTACCCGGCAGCATTTAGAAGCGCGCAGTTTCGTAGTTCCGTTTAACAAAACTAGTGGGTGTTTGTGTCTGGCTTGAAATCCTCCCTGACGGCACTTGTCGCTGACACGGAGAGGGTGTTTTCATCACTTAATGATTCTGCGCGAATGGCTTCAAAGTAAATGAAACGAAGCCCAATGTTTTTTTTTTCATTAGGCACATGCTGGCATTGCATGTGTGACCATTCGGTCTGTGAAATTTCGGGGAGATTTCCTCGCTCTTTGGGCGGAGGGAGCAAGCGCGGTTGTCGTTTTTCATCGTCCCGTCGCTGGAGAATGGCACGTCTCTGTTGGCGCTGATGTGTTTTTGAGTCCTCATCGGGCCTCTCCCACCTACGCCCATTACCTTCCACGTCTGTTTTCGTGCCATGGTGTCGACGCTTGTCCTCTCGCACGTCAGATACTGCTTTTCTACGTATGGTAACGGATCCGCCAAGAACTTGTCCGAGGTTCATACGGTCATCAATCTCGTACCCCGTTTCTGGAAAACGGATATATGAGCGCCTTTCTGGCGCGTGGGAGGGTCTGGGCTGGCTGGCGTCACCGGATATGAATACGGCCATTCTCTTGCTCAGAATCCTTAGGGCGGGTGCTTCGTAGTGTCTCGCGGTCAGGTTCTGTACCAACGGGGGCACGCCTGATCATACACGGAGCACGTGCCGTCATGGCATGCTGAGCCGGCCCAATGTCCGCGGCTCCAGGGCTGTTAAACGGATGGCTTCTTTCCGGGTTGCTGTGCAACATGACGCTCGCTAACGGAAATGTTGAATATGTCTACCACTTATGAGAAGGGAACTGATATAGTCAACGGTGACCGGTAGTGCAGCGGTTAAGCCACTGGCCTAGAAACCGATGGTGTGGGGTTCGGTTCCATGCAATGTCCGGCCTTCCTGCCGGGGTGGGAGGCAGGCTACGCGATGTAGCCCCAGCAGCACGGTGCTTTGTGAAGCCCCAGTGGCATCGAAGGGATGTAAGAGATCTTTTACGGACCAGCGAATGCTTTTACAAGATCGAAGTGTATGATGTGCAGGTATCAGCTAATCTTCTACTCTTACTGTTACCATTCTTCCATGTTTCACATCGATTACATTGTATCCTCAAAGGTTCCTTGTTTCGACCAAGTACAGGTGACGATGCTATCAGGCAAGTGAGTGAAGAAGTGGACAAGCCTGCGACATTGCTTCAAAAACAGTTTGCACTCCAGAACATTGTACTGCAAAGGCCCTTATGATATGAGTTTAATGCTACACATCCAGATATTTGTTACACACGCCCCATATTCATTATTCTACACATGACGTCTGGTTCCAACGACACACCAAGAGCAGCTCTTCGCAGCTTAGCTCTTCCTCACTATGGAAACGGAGATGCTACCAATGACAGGCTGTTAAAGGTGATACCAAAAATATCCGCAGGTCTATCGTGTATTTCTCTTCGGTGGTGTGGTTTGTCTCCCCATGAATTACTTGCAGCTGAGTCCGAGCGAGTGGTGTCCCACGGCAGCATGCGCCAAGTGTTGTAGAGTGTCGCGCCGCAGCCTGGTTGTGCGCTTGATGTTTTGCTCCAGCCGTTCGTCTTCTGTCCTTGGAGAACCTCCGATAAAGTGCTTGTGTGACGACGGGCTCTCAGTTTGACTGCCGTGGTTCCCACTCGATGCAGACGGCATGTGGAACGTGAGAAGTTGGAGCGCGAGAAGCAGCTACGCCTGGAGATCGAACGGCAGAAGACGGAACTGGAGCAGCGCCTGCTGCAGTACCAGGACGAGATCCGACTGGCCCAAGAGGCTCTGGTGAGGACGAGATCCGACTGACTGAGGAGGCTCTGGTGAGGACGAGATCCGGCTGTCTGAGCAGGCTCTGGTGAGGATGAGATCCGACTGGCCCAGGAGGCTCTGGTGAGGAGATCCGACTGGCTGAGGAGGCTCTGGTGAGGAGATCCGACTGGCTGAGGAGGCTCTGGTGAGGACGAGATCCGACTGTCTGAGGAGGCTCTGGTGAGGATGAGATCCGACCGTCTGAGGAGGCTCAGGTGAGGACGAGATCCGACTGTCTGAGGAGGCTCTGGTGAGGACGAGATCCGACTGTCTGAGGAGGCTCTGGTGAGGAGATCAGACTGTCTGAGCAGGTTCTGGTGAGGATGAGATCCGACTGTCTGGGGAGGCTCTGGTGAAGGCGAGATCCGACTGACTGAGGAGGCTCTGGTGAGGAGATCCGACTGTCTGAGGAGGCTCTGGTGAGGATGAGATCCGACTGGCTGAGGAGGCTCTGGTGAGGAGATCCGACCGTCTGAGCAGGCTCTGCTGAGGATGAGATCCGACTGTCTGAGCAGGCTCTGGTGAGGACGAGATCCGACTGTCTGAGCAGGCTCTGGTGAGGATGAGATCCGACTGTCTGAGCAGGCTCTGGTGAGGACGAGATCCGACTGGCTGAGGAGGCTCTGGTGAGGAGATCCGACCGTCTGAGCAGGCTCTGGTGAGGATGAGATCCGACTGTCTGAGCAGGCTCTGGTGAGGACGAGATCCGACTGGCTCAGGAGGCTCTGGTGAGGACGAGATCCGACTGGCTCAGGAGGCTCTGGTGAGGACGAGATCCGACTGGCCCAGGAGGCTCTGGTGAATTCGATATTAGACTGGAGGAGAAATGTCTGATGGAGACAACTTCGGTCAGTTCAGTGTGTTCTGACTTTCATAAGAGCTGCGTATGCGCCGCATGGTTTTGTCAGAAACCTTTGCTATTATTTTAACTGGGAACTGTTTTCACTCGCGGCACAGGGCAAGAATACGTGTTAAGCACCTGATTTTTCTGAATGTTCTCATTAAATGTACATCAGCCGTACCAAATTTCACGTTTGTTGTTTCGTGGTTCTAGAAGGACTATTCGGGCTTACAGTACCGACCAGGCCGCCCTGCGAGAGATGACGTTGGTATTCCTGTTAGTGTGCTGACGCATTTGTCACCTTGAGATTACAATTGCCAAAGTAGAAATGTGGCGCACGTTGTTTGCGTTGTGTGGAGCGGAACGGTGTTAGGATGTGGTTATCTTGGACGATTGCTGGGGCGTTTAGCATCAAGTGTTTGGTGCATGTCGACGGTTGTTCAAATAAGTCCCGCAGAATTGATTGGAAGTGGTTTCGTAATAAAGGTCGGGCGCGGGGAACTGGTTGGCCCGATACATCTCATTACTGCCAAACTCACCAGCGTCGGCTCTGTCAAAACAGGTCTGCCTATCAGAAGATCGAACCGCCCATTTCGCCTCGCGGGAAGCTTCCGGTGTGGCGCAGTGGATGGACGTCGCAGTTCATAATTCTCTACCCTGATTTCTCTGATTTTGATAAGTTCTCTCTGAGTCCTCAGAAATCCGCATTCAAGCTGTCGGCGTCGTCTGCTCCGCAGGCGGAAGGCGAGGGGTGCCCTGAGCTATGGGCGGGCGTGGGATAGCCCCAGCGCCATTGGGCGGGCTGCCGTCCATGTAGACTGACTGCGCTGGCTGTGGCCTGACAGGTGCCGGCGGGCGGGCGTGGGATAGCCCCAGCGCCATTGGGCGGGCTGCCGTCCATGTAGACTGACTGCGCTGGCTGTGGCCTGACAGGTGCCGGCGGGCGGGCGTGGGATAGCCCCAGCGCCATTGGGCGGGCTGCCGTCCATGTAGACTGACTGCGCTGGCTGTGGCCTGACAGGTGCCGGCGGGCGGGCGTGGGATAGCCCCAGCGCCATTGGGCGGGCTGCCGTCCATGTAGACTGACTGCGCTGGCTGTGGCCTGACAGGTGCCGGCGGGCGGGCGTGGGATAGCCCCAGCGCCATTGGGCGGGCTGCCGTCCATGTAGACTGACTGCGCTGGCTGTGGCCTGACAGGTGCCGGCGGGCGGGCGTGGGATAGCCCCAGCGCCATTGGGCGGGCTGCCGTCCATGTAGACTGACTGCGCTGGCTGTGGCCTGACAGGTGCCGGCGACACCGGCTGTTTCTGATCTGGCGGGGCGTGGCGGCGCGGCTCACCAGTCGCCGATGTTCAGTGTTCGCCGCCGCTGAGCGCCGCTTCCACTTCTCGTGCACCTTCCACCACCAGGCAACTCAAGTGAAAGTAACGGCCCGGGAGGGACCAGCTGCCATTAGGCGGGATGGCGTACTGCGCCGGCCCCTTGTCTCCAGCCGGATTACACAGCACAGCGCGACGTGGGACGTGATGGTTCTGAGCAGGCTTTCAGCCGGGCGGCCGCGCGCCCAGTCTTGTTTGATGCTCAGCCGTGCAGCCGCATGGGCTCCGGAATGAAATCAGAACGCCGACCATGGTTCGGGCAGCTCCCGTTACGCTATGCAAATGCACATCAATCAGCTAGCTACAGCGCGTTGGGGCCCAGGGGCCGACCGGGCCGTTTTGATACAGCGCCTCGCCTACGTGACGGGCTCACTGATCAGCGGCGGGTGGTCTGCCCAGCGTTCCGTTATAGCAGCTGGCTGCTCCTCGGCGACCTAGCCGAAACCTTATCATCCATGTGATTGGATCGACGCTGCGGCCGCAGGAGTCTGACGCAAAGTACTGTTAAATGTCCAACTAAACGTCATCCGTCTAAAAATAAGTCGTCTCAGTGTGCCATTTTTGAAGGCATGTCTGCAGAGGCGGTTCGCAGCTGAGCCTTATTTCTACATTTATTTGCGGGTCAGCCTGTGGTGTCCCATTAATAGCCATGAATCCATGGCAAGAGAAGCGGGCATTATAAATTGGAGCAGGTTTGAGTGCGAGTTTTGTGGTACGCAAGGGCAGAAGTATGGTTAATCAATGTCTTGCGCGTCTGCTCGGTTCTACGAACAAAAGCCCTCGCGGTTTTCGCTGAGTATAAATCGGTCTGCTTATCATCATTTATAATAGTATAATCTAGCGAACGTTTCGAGGACATTCGTTCGTTATTCGCGTAGCAGTGTAAGTCGGACGGAAATATTCCAGTGTGGCTAAATACGAGGCATGCTCT